AATGATTTTTGTTTTCTTAAATGGTGCAAAGTAGTTTTCTAAAACGGATCTTAAGAGCGATTGGTTAGCAAATGTTTAGTTTTAAATACCTCAGGCGGCTCTACGAAGCCTATAAATGATAGTGCAATTAGAAAATTTAGAGGGAGAGTAGAAGAAGATTTTATTTGAAGAACGTGTTTAATTTAAAAGGCCTTCGGGGTCGAATTGTCGTAAGTTAAAACGTTCTTCTTTTTGAAAGGATGTTTGGTCGTTGACAGTTTTTAAGTCTGTCATTTATTTTAATAATACTTAAAGCTAAGTATTTGTAAGGTTGTTCGGTTTATACTTCTCTCCATTTTTGCTTTGAAATATATTGTTGTTCGGTTATTTCCCCAAATTTTATTTGGTGTCAAAGTATTAGCGTTAAGTCGACCGGAGTGCAACGAAGGTAGAATCAAATTTTGTTAAAGTTTTGTAGCTTGATCTCTACACTTTTCATTTCATTACAATAAGGCCTTACGCTTGTAATTCTAATTGTAGATTTGTTACAGAAATTGCCTTTACGGTCTAGTAATGTTACTGTAAATTCAGCGTATCAGCTATTAACAGCAACACAATTTACGATCTACTTGGTATATTCCTAAACCAAATATCAGATAGAACTTGACGCTTCGTAGTCTAGCTAAGTAGTTGCATTACTAGCATCAAAACCTTCTAGTGGATTACATAGTAATTTAGGTAGCTGATGAAGACAGTAGTCTTTATCAGTAAAGATGTCCAATGACTATTACAAGGTAGTCAAATGGTATCACCGACACACAGAACATTCTCAAATTAATCAACAATCTCTCATAAATCAATTCAATCACAGTTATTCAAACTATCAAAAGATTGTTCTCAGCTTCTTCATATAAACATCAATTTTAGTATTGCTATCTTACAATAGTCGGTGTAGTAATAAAACATGATACTATGTATTAATACTAGAAATTGACTAAATAAGGTTAAGCTTAATCAAATTATTCTAACATAGACAAAAATTCCTATTCCCATCTCCATAATGTAGTTGCTTAACTTAGTAGCTAGATTGTAAAGAATTCTATTGCAGAAATGATTCTATAAACAAGACACTGTAATGCAGCTATCATGAATTCATTATTAAACTTTTACATTTAAATATTTCAACTTTAATTATGTAACTGAGCTTAAATTTCGCGACTTCAACTTATAGGTAAAGTAGGGATATCACTACTTTAGGCTACTACGAAGGAGTACAAGAGTTCGTCAATTTGTAATACGTCTTCCAGTCAAATTTTAGTTAATGTAGAAACAAATAAGTGTAAAAAGTCGCTATAAAATTGCAATTAGAAGGATTAGTAGTTTCCTCAAATATCCGTAAACTAAAAGCATTGGTTTGGTATATTTCTCCTTGCAAGGCTAGCTTTGGATGAATTTATAGCAACTCAAATGCTCAAGATGTACAGTAGGTGAAGGTCTATAGGTGAATTATCAAATTGTGAATAAAATTCAATTGGAATTATGGCTATGATATTATATTTATCGAGTAGCAAAGAGAAATTTGTATGCCTTACAAGCCAACAAGCGAATTCATTTCAGTAAATGTTTCCATTTCTAGATACTTTAGTTTTGATAGGTTGTTTAAGATAACTAATAAAAGTAATGAACAGTTGCTATTAATTTACGTTTAATTAAAATGCAAATAAGTAGTTGTATCATTATTGAACTTACAGTGCCAGTATATGAGACAAGCCAGCAAAGGTATTCTTTACGATAGAAGAAATATTATTATTACTTAAATTCCTGCAGAAGAAATATTATATATACAGCTTTTATTTAGAAATTATTTTTAAATTTTATGGAAATTATTCTCTTTACTTTGAATTATGAAAGACATTAAATAGATTTTGGATCAAATAATAACGATGCAAAAATATTAAGCATTGTCCTACAGATATGGTAAATTGTGCCATTATTATCAATAGCGTAATTTGTGCTTTGATTTTCTATGCTTTGTAACACCTTAACATACACAAGTAACGAATCCTAGGCTAACTAAGATAGATGTTGAATTCTGTATCCTGATGATACTTTGCAACTAAATGTACATATAAGCAGGAGATTTCGTCTTCGAAGTTAAGTTAGTCGTAGCTAATCTGGTCCTTGGTGGAAGATGTAATTTATTCTCAAGATACGGAAGTCTTTGCTTAAAGTTAGACGCTTTATCACACAGTGAGGCTATTACAAATTAATATCATATAGGGTTTAATGAAGTTAGTAACTTTATTGCAGTAGAAACGAGATTGCATCTAGGCAGTAGAATCGACAAGAACTATTTACTGCTGAACCTTATCAAAATTACCCAAACTGATCGCTAACGAAGATTTTTTACTGATAGAACGAAAAATCGCAAAGGATTATCACATTGCAGTGATTTCAGCTAAAATGCAGTAGTTTTGTGTAGGGCTAATAAGCCTGGCACTACACAGTATACATATGCTAAATTGATCGTCACATCTCATTTATCTTTACTACCGGCTTTTCAAGAAAGCGTTTATAAAATCACTTCATCGCCTATACATAATGCATAATTTTAATCCAAAACTAGTAACAGTATATTTTCAGTAAGCTACAATGATGCAAGCTTGGATCTAACTGTATACTAAATAGCTTATTCAATAAGTTGAAAAGAGTACCATCTTTTCTCTAGTTAATTGCATCATTTACCAACACTGATGAATCAATTAGCTAATGACTTAGTCAGTAGTTTTTTTAATAAAGTTTAGATAGCAAGATATCATTATTTAGTATTATGTGACTTACAGCAAGTCAAGTTTACCTTTAGTAAGCAAGACTACTTCTCTAACTTACGATATAGTAACTAGAATCTTTTCGAAATGTACACACTTTAAGGCGCAACACAGTATAACGTGCATAAGTAAGTACTTTTATTGGCCATTATCCCCTTCAACTGTACATACTCTGTCAGTCATTGTAAACATATGTCGATATTTTTAAAACTTAGATAATTGTAAATTGACAAACTTGTGTAACAACATTCCGCACATTTAAAAATTTCGTCATTTTCACCTACAGTGCAGAACCGTACTTTGCAATACGAGATTTGCTGCAATCTTGCAGAGTAAACTGAAATATTTCTTTACAATCATCCGTTTTTCAGTAGTCTTATTTTGCTATCGCTATTTTATAATTTTCTGCAAATGATTTATTTATTTTTAAATATGACCGTCTGCAATCGTTTGAATTTTGATCGTTACAAGTACTACCAAAGCGTAAAAAGCCAAATTCTGTTCAGTAAAATGTGTTTTGCAACAATCTTCTTTGAATTAAAGTATGTTTTTCAATAGGTTCTCACACTCTGCATTTTAAAGAGAATATCTTGCAGTTAGTACAACAACAATGAGTTATGTAAATCACACTATATTAGAATCATTTAAGCCAAAAGAGTTCTGTCACACACCACTAGTGACAAAGTAGTCTACACACGCCAATCCTTGCGGAGAACACCACTTACTAACTTAAACAGGCGAGATTAGCTATACCACCAAATAATTCAGTTCCAACGACCGAATACTATGGTATAATTATAGCGTCACAGATAGTGTAGACGAGAAAGTCAGAGATTTACTATCATTTAATACTGAAAAAAATCTCGGCACCCGAGATTATAGACTTTACAATTAAATATCAATTGAAAAAATAGTTGACTATCCGACCGACTAACTAACTAAAAGGGATCTTCAGGCACCAGCCTTTTATAGTCTCGTCAGAAACTCCTGGTGCACATAAAATAAAACTATCCTTTTAAAGTTATAGGAATTATTATGAATATTGTCATTAAAGACTTTATATAAGATAATTAATTAACAACCTCTATTGTTAAGAACTGATAATTAATTAATAAATTAATAAAGAGATTAACTAGTAAACACGAGGTGACAATTTAACACCTTAATCATATAATTAATTAATTAAATCAATTGTCAACAACGCTAACTGTGCATTATCATATTAATCAAAGATTAAACAGATTATATGAAGAAATGACAATTAATAAAACGTCAATCCATACAAACAATATTTAATATTACTTAATAATTAGGGCGAGCTTACGTATCGTAACAAGTTCATACTTTTAACGTTTAACGATGTTATAATACTTTATAGAAATGTTGAGCGCTTGCATGCATAGTAGCGAATGACATTATACTTTGGTTTCTTTAATGGCTGATGATACTTTATCTTTGTAATGTCGATTCAACTCTAGAACAAGAATCAGACGAAACTGAGAAATTCAATGCTGGTTGTGCACCCGGAATTCGATTTAAAGACTCTGTCGATTCTAATGAAACTGTTGAGATAGAAATGGACGAACCCAATTCTTGTAAGTTGTACTGTGGCTAACATTCTTTTACTATTTTAAGTGATAATACAGTAAAATCTATCGCATACTGTAATAGTAGCGACTTACCTGATTTGTAAGATAGAGTCATTTAATTGGTTTGTATAGCAAGCGCTTTCAACAATTTCAACTTAGAAAGAGGAATATATTTAGTATAGAGAGAATCGTTCATTCTTGCTACATTCGATTTTCTATTATACTGTTTAATATGATGTACCGTAAGTAGCCGCTGATCCTATTTTTGCAAATAAAATAAAATTATTGTAGCAGCCAAGAAGTATAACGGCAAAATCGTAAAAGATATTGGAACGAAGTGGAAAACTTTGGCAAGAGAATTTGGAATTGATGAAGGCGACATCGATAAAATTATAGCTGAAAAAATTGGATCAGTTGACGATCAATGTGCGCAAATGTTGAGTAATTATAAGCGTAGAAAAGGTCGGAGTTACACAAAGAAAGCATTAGTTGAAGCACTCTTTAAAAGTTGTTTCTACATATAAAAATTTAAAAAGGAAAGCCAATGCTGTAAAAGAAGATGGTAAGCTTTTATGCTATAAACAGAAAGTGTTTATCAAGATTTTCTTCTCATTATTTACACAATTTATGATAAATGAATTTTCATAGACTATTTTTAATTTACTGTAGATACGATAGCGTATCTCAAGCGTAACACGACAAGACTTTAATTTCATATTAAACTTTGCGTTATAACCCAAATCAGTTTTTTAGCGACGATTATCACCATCTATATCTCCGCAAAGATACTAATAGGGTATACTACTGTTGAAAGATTGAAATAAATAGTTTAATAGAAAATAGATTCATTACTTTGGACCATAAATCCTATAATAATACTATAGATATTACAGAGGAGCGTTAGATGTCATAAAGTAACGTAAGATATACTAACACTGCAACTATTGCAACTATCTAGATCTGAGGTAGATACGGCTATTAGCCGTATTTGTTAGCTTTAGAGATGTAGTCAATGTAGAAGAAGGTAATATTGATTGTAAAATCAAATTCAACGTAGATGATAATAGTTCATGTGGTGTTAGACGACTGCAAAAAACATGATATACTAACAGAATCCAACAAATATTCTGTCTTGAAAAAATTAAAAATCATATCAATTTTCATTCAATTACTTGACTAGAAATTTTCTCAAAATTTTTCATTGATTTACTGTACATATTCCTTGTTTGAATGTTCAAGTTCGCATTTTACATCCAAAATCGGACCGTGACTATACTGTGTTAATTACGCATAATTATTTAAACTTAGAAATGAGATCAAACAGTTCTAAACGTTACCAACCATAATTAAGATACATAGCATTTACGCAGTACGATGAATAGTACATAGTCTAACATACAAGGCAATATATTAAAAAAAAATTCACTGCTAGATTATCTTAGTGAACATACTTTCTAGATATTGCATGCTAACTGAAATTTTTCTTTAGTTTTATTATTTTGGATTTAAAGTGTTTAGAGAGATAAGAATAATAGCGATATTTACTGATAAAATTTGGCATTAAAATTAAAAGGAGAAACATTGGATTGTCAGTCATAGGTTCTATCGATTAAACTTTTTTTTATTTACATGTCATTCTTAAAGCTGCCGAGCCATTGAAAAAATCTAAAGAAAGATGATGAACTATCTAACAGCGCTGACCGAGAAATCCAAGGCATGTTTATTGATAGATAATATTATGATTTACTTTACATTAGCGAAGAAGTACCGTTTTAAAATAAAGCGTTATCATTTTAATATTTGTGACAGCTTTCTTTATATCGTATGACCACTAAAATGGATCATGCTTGTAAGATTGTAAGAATCTGCAAACTGCAAACCTCTATTTTACACCGTATAAGCTCCAGGCATGATCTATTTTGGGCTACATTGCACTCAATTGTATATGAAATAATATAGCATGACAATATATTAAGTTAAAGATGGATTCTGTACGCTAAATTTTGAAAATGTTATTCTCTAGAATAATTTTTGAGATTATCACATCCTTTAAATTTTCGATACTACCGCAACTAACGCAATTTGATGACAATAAGCAGTATTTAGTCTGCGCAGTCAGTTCAATAGTACTAGTCTTGCAGCAATCTTTACTTTAATTATCTTTTCATGGATTATTTGCACTTTGTATTTTCAAGAAGCTTGTGGCAACGAAGCTGAGTTTAAGTATACCACTTACATTATAATTATATAAGCAAGAATAGCATAGTTAACAAGCAGTACCACGTTTTCATAAATAAATTTAACACCTACGACTTGATAGAGTAATAATACTGCAAACAAATACCATGATTACTGATAGCACTGATGTTACTATGATTGGTTGTTCTCGTTAGTAGTCTAATGTTATTCAGTTTGCATTTACGTATAAGCTGTCTTTGTGGTATATATCGCACCATACGAAGTTTTTCCTAAATTGCTTAATTCAGAATAGTTCTTCAGGTGTCATTTGCATTTCATTTCCGGATAACTTTGAGATAAATCATAATTTTGATCTTAAAAACGCTACGAAATAGGAGTTAGTAAGCTTTTGTTAAATATTATACTTGAGGTAAAGACCTTCATTTTAACTACAGTTACCTAGTTGACGATTTTTTCGACTTTGAAATAATACGAGTTGAATAATTAAAGCTTACACATACCAATATTTTTTCCGCTTTATTGCGGTTATAATAGTATTAGTAAACATTTTAATTTTCTCTGTGATCTTGGATAATGCTAAATAATGTAGTCCGTGCGTTGTAAAATAACGTTTTGTTTATAGTACTGCTAATTAAATTTGCAAACAAAGACAAGTATCGGTATATTGACGATTTTATCATGCGTTTGCTCACTTTCAAGGCCTAAACAATTACATTCGTCATATTGCGAGCAAGATCGGAGCAGATTGGACAAGATTAGCGAGAGTACTCGACCCAGAAATTCCGGTTAATGCAATCAAAGAAGAGGAAAATAATGATTTCAATCGGGCATTGAAATTTCTTAATACATGGCGTCAGAAAAATTCTACAAATGCGACAACTGATAAGCTAGATAAAGCTTTGCTGGAAATTTCTAGAAAAGATATTGTGGGCACCAAAAACATACCAAAGGCAGAGCCCATTCTACGTATCAATCGTCTATCTTCAATTATTGTTCTCGCTATATTCGTAGTCGGATTATATTGTATAGCTCGCAACCGACCGAGTACACGCGCTTAAGCTCCTCTTTATTTCTTTTTTCAACTCCTTTTATAAGCTAGTCTGTGTATCAATACATGACATATTGGTGCAAAGATAATGTACTACAAGGGCCAGTATTATACTAAAAGTATTACATACCGTATTATAAGATTCTATGAAAATACCATTAAATAAGACTAATATATCCACAAATGATTTTTTTTTCAGCATATTTCATGCAAACTATACTCCTATAACACTGGCATATTTATATTTATTGTGCCAAAGAATAAATATAATATTTTAAATCATCATGCAAGAAGAAATTATTTGTGATCTATAAAATATTATGTTATATAGCCGTCAATTTTCAATTTAAATTTTAAGAATTGTATAAATGAACAGCTTGAAAAATATTGATACGAGATAATTAACTCCATATTGCCCTATTTTTCTTGTAAAGATATTTAGGTATATATGTTTTCTGAAGGATATTTCTAAAATTTGTAGCCATAATACGTATTAAACGATACTTAAAATTAGGTGAAATTGTTTTGTACAACTATTTAAGAATAGATATGCTAGAACCGCATAATGTTCTTGCTAGACTTGGCATTCAAATTTATCTTTTGCAAATATAATCAATTTGTTTTAGCTGACAGATATATAAGGAGTCAAACTATTATCTAGAGAATAATACAAGCAAACAAAAATTTCTCAGATATAAATTCTCGTACAAGTAAAAAGTAATTATTTACAAAATACTACATTTTCCTTATTGTCTACGGTATATTTAATTGCCTTCGATAGTTTCTGTAAGACAGAGTAATATTGTATTCTAAGTTAATATATTTAGTAATGTCTACTGTATTTATAGTGTTCTACGTGTGATAGATATTCCGTTAGAGGCTTAAGTATTAAATATAGCTAGCTATGTAACTGTATCCTTTTGAAGAGGAGTGCTACAGTGCTCATACTAGAGCTTTGCATAAAAGGTGTAAACTATCCTTTATTTGAGATGTTAATACTGAAGTGTGTAGTAAGTAAGGAGCTAAGATTGTTAACATGGAAATGCATATAAGCGAGTAGTTTAGTACAGTAAAATAGTTCTTTCTCGTTAGAGGTCCTAAGCTGATCGATTACGTTGTATCATTGTAAACGAGGTTTTGTTCAATAACTCCTAATTTTTGAAGTCTTGAAGATTCTTAATCTATCAACCGCACAGCTTCGTAATAGCGATATCAATCAGGATAATAAACCACGTAATGAAACAACGAAACTCATGAAAACTAAATCTGCTCTGAACCGCGTTAAAACAGTTACATACGCGCCTCCCATAAGATTTAATTTATTATATTATATACTATAACATTAGCGGCGAAACCATACGATACCAAATTTGAGCATAGCCAGTCAAGTGAATTGGTCGTCAAACTAGTGGTTGTAAAGCCTAGAGATACAAAGCCTATGCTAAGAAATGGCAATACACCCTAGTACTTATTTTTGAATAGTGCTGACGATACTTCGAGTCAGGAAATAGGCAATGAATCGTTAGTAACTATAAACTGAAATGACAGCAAAGGAATCTACTATCAAATTAATAGCAGAATCATAATTCTAAAACAAGCCATCAGTGAATATATAGATTGCATGCATAGCAAAGAAATGCGCAAAATTCGAAATATCTGAAAAGCAGCCTGCTAATGGAGAAAACAATACAATTTTTGGGTGTCTGATTTAACAAAAATTTGAGGTAGGCTGCCGACCAAGAAATACGAAAAGTTCTCGATAGAAACATGATTGAATTTTTTATTCTTTTGATACCATATTATAGACTAAAATTTCGACTCAAACACCAAATAGAAATATTAAGCCTCCTCAAGGTTATTTGGTAACATGAATAAAGTTAGTCAAAAGAATAAAGTCAGCTTAATTATTATTGAACCACAAATTTGGACTAGGTGGGTATATAATTCATGAGTTTTAATTGTTGGGGCCAACTTATCCCAAATTGCATTGTATTTATTTCCAGTTACAAAATTAACTAGTATAATTTTTTTTATCAATTGATCAATACTTCTACACACACAACAAAATCTGCTAATATGAAAGTGATTATTTCACAACAGACGAGTATAAAAATAGTTACTATCAAATCTTGAACAATAAGTATTCCAAATTTCAGTGTAAATTAGTTAGGCGATATAATAGCTACCAATGAGTAAAAGCTGCTAGCAATTTCTTTTACGTAAGTTGAATTATAACGAGAACAGCTCTGATAATCCTAGTTAATTTTTATGCATTTTTCACTATTTAGCTCGTTTTAGAAGCAAATAATGGTAAAATTATTACAAAATTTATATTTATATATTTAATTCTTGATTAATTTGATTAATACGAGTAACAATATCGCTTCTTCCTATGCGTCTCAAGGCGACTTCTAGACGACGAATACCAACATGTGGATATTTATTGTACCATTTATTTAGTAGTTCTATCGCTTGGCCAAATACATCGTTTCGATTTTGTTCTTGGATAACTTTAGTACTAATTTTCGGATCTAATACAGCTGCTAACTTTTTCCAGTCCGTTTCGATTAAATTTGCAATACAAGAAAAATAGTGCCTGATATCTACTTCTTTAGGATCTACTTCTTTCGAAACGGCTAATTTGAAAATAGATGTAATTAATTAGTGATATAAAATTGAACTACTTGAAAATTGATACTTCTGCATTAATAATTTGTAAAATAATCATGTACTATATCTCGGCATCGATACTACTTTGATAAAAGATACTAATATATTGTACTGTGCATTGTATAACGATCGCTATTCTAGTTAAGATCCAATTAGAATTATACTAGCAAATCAAATTTCAGGTATAACTTACATATTTCTGGCTCCTCCTCATCAATTTTCCAATCCTTTGCAGATTGACTTGAAAAGAATTCATTACAATATTCACATTCAGTCATCTTATTACCTTCTAGACTACATTTACTCGTTATTTTAGTTAATTTATGACATTCTGGACATTGGACGTGAAAATAACATGTCGCATTGTAAAACTTGGGCATCCTTTCAGCAACTATAGACGACAATTTCTTCAGTACAATATCGTGAGGACGCTTTTCGCGTATACAGTCTCTGATTTTGCTCTTAAACATTCGGTCAGTTTTAGCGTCGGCCATTTTTTGATAACAATATCGTAAGCCTATGTACGATTGCTCTTTTTTAACGATAAGGTAGTAGTGATCTTCTTTCAGATAAAATTTAGCGCATTGATAACATATTTCTACCTTTGTATTATTCCATTCTCTTAAGCACGATGACAGTAAACAATAATAAATTCCATCTGGAATATGAGGAACTTCTTTGTACGAGTAGCCGATATATAGCCAATCCGACTTATGAAATCTGCTTAAATCAAAAGGTTTCACATCGGGACGAAGTAAATATGGAACAAAGTATTGACTATCTTCTCTATTTTCGATATTATCATTTCTAATCGAACAAATAATATCATATGTTTCCATCAAATTTAATATACAATTCTTGCTATTTTCATCTAACTTAAATTTTTTAAGAGAATATTCGATGTACACCCTTGATAGTCTTCCGGTTTGGCTCGCTTTCTTGTATTCAGATTTTAATTCTAAACTTCCGCTTAAACATTCATCTAACTGAATGATCGCGCGAAATATATCTAATAACCGATCGACATTAGTTATAATAATTCCGTTATCGCCCGCTTTCTGATAAAATATAATCTCTCCTAAGTCGTGTAAATACATTAGCATCGCTTTTAGCTCCTCTTCACTTTCATACAACCTATAATCTTGAGCTAATAATGTTACATCTTGCATAGTCATAATATCACGAACACGAGCTGCTCTAATTTGATTAATTACGGATGATGACTCTTGATTTTCATATCTGTGAAAAGATGTATTGAGTATTGTAGCCATAATATACCACCTGATAGGAATTGGATTACGAATAAATGATAAGGATAGAACAAATTCTTTAATAATGAGATGTAAACGATGACAACATTCTCGACGTTGAGATAGCGTAGCTAAGTTATTATCTTCAGGTTTACAATTAAAAATAATACCTGAAGAGTAGATATTACGCTAATAAGTTGGCATATAAGAAATTAAATCTTGCTCAAATTGTTTAAATCGACTATTTCTATCTTCTTTGCCATCAAGACTATCGCCATGAGAAGCCACAAGAATAACAATAGGCAATGATATTTCACAGGTACACTGTCAACATTGATGCTAATATCACTTTGATCCCTATGGCCGCTTATAATCGACGTAAGCCATTCTTGCATGGCTTGTAAATAGGTGATATTAAGTAGTAAATCATCTCTTGTTTTTACTTTGCCATTAATATTTTGGGTAATGTTAAAGACAAGAATATAAATATTATTAGCGGATATAAACGGCCGATGGGTAACGTGATAGACAGAGTGGCCACCGAAATCCCATATTTTAGCATATTTTCTATCCTCTTTTGCATCTTTGTTGTCTTTCGTAATGGATACAAAATAGTCTTGAAGGTCGTTTTGCATTGTGCTCGAATTAAATTCACTCTCTAGCGAAATCTTAGTAACTTGAGATGAGATCGATACTATTAGATTGTCGCTTTGGGTTGTATCAGAAGAGACGAGGCATACGTTATTTAATGATGATTCGTCTGTTGCAGCTTGTGCATTCTCTTTACTTAATATGGGTGTTTCGATAATCTGCTTCTTGAAGTTTGGATTGTCATCAAGTTCTTTGGTAACTTGAGGCGATTCTTCTATAGACGCGATTACATTTTTTCTAATATTTCACTCATAGCACAAAATTTCCCATCATAAACGTCATAAGCATTGATTTTGATCATTCTTTCCGACCATTCAGCAACTTGTGTCGGTGAGTCATGACCGGTTAGCCTTTGCTGAGTGAAAACTCTCATAATCGATGATTTACCGACATTACGAGGCCCAACAAACATAGCACGAATCAAATTATTGCGACGCTTTCCTTGCTTTATTGCTCTATTATACGCTTTTAAGTAATTTTTGCTTTGGATACCAGTACCTATCCAAATATCATTCAAATATGATATACAACAGATAGAAAAATAAAATTTTATTAGTGGAGCAAAGGTTACGAATGTGAAGTGATATCAAGGGAATGACCAAGGTTCCTTATATTTACCATGATCGCTTGCGCGCATATCCATTGGCTAGTATTACTATTTCCTCTATAGGCAATAAAACAGGAATGTCTCCTTGATTGTCCGAAAATTTAATGCGATGCATTACGGTATCATCATCCAATGTAACATCCTAAATTTCAGTACAGAATTAAAACAGTTCAAATAATTATACAATTAGAATCTTAGAAAAATATTCCGAATTCTATTTTAACGTTATCTACTCAAGTAAGTGTAAAAGCGAGTGCTGTCATACTTTCGGAAGGGCAGCAGTTTCCAATTTCGAAAATTCTTCTATATTTATCCGATTATCTATTTAGAAAAGAAAGCACACGACTAACAACAATCCAATGACACATTAACTTAAAAATTCTACATGATACAGGTCTAGGCTATGTAGCAATGATAACTTCCTGCTCACAAATACAGTTACAAACCTTTCAGCGTTTCGCACTTTATTGAAGCGGTAAGTTGAGCCAATTTTTTTTCCTGAAAACGAGTACGTTTTCCTAATCGACCTAATACCAAGGCGAAAGGATTTTAGTTATTGCATTAATAACGATATTAATCTGAATTATTAATTGTCGTACGACTGATACCTTTTAGCTCCAACTTTAAGCCGATCACAGACTCAGCTTTTCGAAGCAATTTCTAAAAGAGTGAGACATGGTTCAATCAATTCAATTTGCTAATATGTGGTACTAGATCTAAAAAGTATCTATTTTGGTCATATACCTTAGCTTCAAAATAACCACAGTAACACCGTTTCAAGTGAGAAAATTCCACGTAGACTTGACAGCAAAGTAGCCTATCAATAATATTACATGAGCCATATTTATTAGATACAATGAAGTATTGAAAATGAACCTATTTTAAGGATATAAAACGATATTAAATCGAACAAGTACAGATTCCTTACGATGGAAAATCTTCCTCTTGCAAAAGACCATCGGTAACTAGGAATAAAAATACGCGTATGTCATTTACATTCAACGTAAACCTTGATGCTATATCTGGTATATTAAATCTTTGCATGAACATCAATCCGTTACCGTAAGATCTTACCTATGTCAATCTGTGCGAAAATCGCTTGCATGAGATCTGGAATGGTATCGTTAAATAATTGCTGATGGGCATAAAGACATCTTATGCACCATATTGGAGCTGTCTATTGAAATACATAAAATACGTGTTACAGATAAAAGTACTTTTTTATTCAAACAGTAACATAGACGGACGATGCAGTACAACGCATGTACTAGTCGAGGAAGGATTTATGAAATCAATTGATTGCTTAAATATCTATTTTAAACTCTGAGCCCAAACGTCCTTTGGATATACAATAGTTTATCACTACCTTTAGGGCAGCTCAATTGATTTCGGCAATTAAATAACAATAATCGAGAGATCCATAAGAGACCGTAGAAATCAGCCAAAGGGTAAGGAGGCTAGAGGAAAATTTGGACCATGAGTAATAGCTATGTATAGTGTAACAAGTCATGAAGATCTGTATCATGTTGAAAGCTTACTTCTTCATCGCAGCTGAGCAATTTTTGAGCACATGGATTTAGTTCTTGTACTCTAGGCAATGCCTCGGAAGCTATCCTAGGGCCAGTCCAGTTGCATTGTATGAAGCATTGCAAATAAGCAACTCCAGCTACAAGGATCACTAAGTGCCTGCTCTTATGCAACCGAGAAATTAAAACGCAATCAGGTAAAGCTAATAAGATATTGTTGAGTGAATGTCTACGATATGATATTACCTATCATTCGACTGATCTTCATCTACAATTGACGATAAATAGGAGGATACTTTATCTTGGATGAGATCTTGTGCCGTAGCTAAAGAAATCGAAATGACAGAAAAGAGCTGTCATACTACGAGTACAGTGCATTAAACAAGTGATCAAGGATTGACGTCATTACTGTCTTTCAAGAATAAGACATTGCTTATATCTTCTCCTAGTATATTGGCTGATTATCCAAATCTATCACGCCGATAAAGTCACCATCACTCAATTTCTGCAGCATGCTAAGCAACGTTAATGCAAGAACAACAACAATAAATCGAGAACGTATATCATTAATGATCTTAAAGCGAGACTGAGGTTATATTATGGCAATTTCATCAGTATAAATGCGTTGTAGCTGCTATCACGTTATTATTTGATCAGTCATCGCTTGCGCTTGCAACATGAGCTATGGCTGCAGCCACATTCACAAGATTGGAAACAGATATATCAATCCTCTCTACCTTTAGTACAGTCTACAAGTATTTCAACGTATGCAGTACACAAACTACTTTATCTGATGATCGTCAAGAAATCAACATTTCTTCCATGTCACAATTATTAATCACATTTACAACGATTCGCATTCGTTTAATTTGATCTGTTGTGGTTACCTTGGTTTCCACTTGCTCGCGGCATCACTTCGATTTCCTTCTGATTTGCTTCATGATTTGCCAGAAGGAAACCCAGTAAATAATATTCAATAAGACGAACCCTATCTCCCATGTTATATGTCTCTAAAGTTCCTTACAGCCTGCAGCAGTATAAGGTTATAACTGATTTCCCATCCAGTTGAATTGTAAATAGAGACACTGGTACACTAATACCCAGTAGCTGCAATAAATCATCCGCTGAAATATGACGCTTGGGAAGTCTAAAATCAGTTTATTTTTACCTTTGGCTAAATTGACTGCAAGCCCATCGCACAAGACTAC